CAGTAACGGCTCTAGGATTTCGTGAAAGTGGGGCAATCATGATGGCTCATTATCGGATATCTTCTAGTGAAAGAAAATCGAAAATTTTCGAACGAAAGTATAATCATCTTGAATGCTAAGAAACCGTTGGGTCCGAACTTTTCGATCTCGGAACTAGACCGAGTTGATCAGACTTTGTTGGATCCGAAGCCGAACCTGATCCTATCATACTTTGACATTCTCAATGAAATTTACTACTGGAAACTGAACAATTGTCCTTAAGATACGAAATACTTTTTTTCGAGTTTTTGCAATCTGTGACTAACGCATTCTATGCATTTCATAGATAGCTAGAATCCGCTGGGTCTAGAATTCTTAGACCCAGGCCAGATTAACCGAAGATGTTCAAACTCAAACCTAGTTGGATTCGGAATCAATCTGACAAGCTCGATCCGTGCACTTCCTTCGATATAAATCCACCACTGAGAAGTATGTCGTTAGATTTATATTTAGAACAATCAAAGCAAACAAAAATTTGATTTTTCAATTATCTATTGTTGACTTTTATTTGGAATTGATTGAATGAAATCTGTCCTTATGATTGAAAAAGCTAACTTTAGTTCTGATGTTTATTGTTGTGGCATATGGATTTTAGTTTGTAAACCAATATAGTCTTTGTGAACACGATTGCTGACTAGTTTTTGATACAATTTGAAACATTATGATTAATCTCACAGATCAAATTCACTATGTAGTGATAAAATGTGTCACTTTAATATGATTGCAACTGCGTTTATAAGTATATGTCATCCATCCAACAAGTGATGATTATATAAAATTCAATGCATTGAATAGGGATTCATAGTTTTTAGTATTATTATTATTAATAAAAAAAAAATGAAAATCAATGTTATTTTTTTTTGTTTGTTTTCCTTTAATATACTCTTTTACAGATAATTCGTCACGTTTTCATTCTTGAATGACATGTAAAATTTACCTATAAGTATATTAATACATGACTTTGCCCTAAAATCGTATTCGTGTTGTTTGATTTTTACATAATTTTTTTTCATATAAAGGTGCAAGATATAATTCAAAGAGTATTGACACACACTCAGTCAAGTGTACTGTTCCATTAGTAGCACAAAGATGCCCTATATATACAATCTTACGCTTACTTTTTACACGCGTATCTGTTCAAAAATTTAATTGCATCATCGATATATCATATACTGTTCGTTGCTTTACAATGAAGGGTAAAGAATCTGTACTTTATAAAATAGCTCGAATTCGCTTACTGTTCATGTCTATCGTTATGTTGGCATCAAAAGAAGCTTAATAAAATCGACATCACTGAAGAAAAGAAAGAAAAAAAGAAGGAAAAAAAAAATTTATGCAACACATATGCAGACAAGTATGTACATTATCATTGGTTCTATTAAATATCGTGAATGCCGAAAAATCGAATCGTTTGCCAAGACAAATATAAAAGATCGATACTACCTGTAGAAAAATTTGAACGAAAAAAAAAGAAAGGAGAGAGCAAAAAAGAGAAAGGGAATATAGGTGTTATTTATGATAATCGATAGAGACAAAAACAAATCACTAGTTCTATTGAAATCTGTCCTACTGTTTTTTCTTTGAATATACTTTTATTTATTCTTCTTTAGCATATATAAAGAGCCAATAACAGTTACTGCTACTCAATTTTTGACGTCCATTCATTGCACTCTTTTACTCAAGCATATTGTTCATTTAATTACTTGTCATTCTACACAAATATCAAATAAGTAAGTTGTATTTAATAGAGAAAAAGAAAAAGAGAAGATGATTAAGATCATTTTTTGTATGGTTTTTTTTTTTGATTATGATATTGAATAGCTGGTATATTTTTCCTTTGAATTATACATGAATCTCAATGTTCAAAACCATAATTATTTGCATTTGGCAGCTGTATCGAGTGGTACATCACGTTGTTTAGGTTCTTGAGGACGATATTCTTGAGTCCATGGAAATTTTGGTGCATAATCTCCATTAGAACCATTACATGATAAATGAATTGGAGCGATTTCATAAAATTCTTGAAGTATAGCTGTAGTTAATGGAGTCCATCTTATTGATTTATAATTTTCATAAACTGTTTGATCTGTACTTGTATTAGCATAATCATACCTAAAATAGTATATTTTTTTTCTTAATGATTTCTTTACTCAATAAGGCTTACTCTTTCATTATTTCAAAAAAATGATCGAGAGCATCATCTCTTACACTTGTTTTACATAATTCAAGATTAGTTCTTGGATAATAATGCATATAATTAACACACATTTCATCACTTATTCCATATCCTCCAAATGTCATATGTTTTTGAATTTTTGTATTATAAATACATGTATGCAGAATCGTATCGCCAGGTTCAATTAAAATTGGTTTAGGTAAAAGACGAATTTCTTGAAAATGTGGACTATAATGTCGATCAATATTTAATGTAATAATTTCACCATTTTTTTTAATAATTCGTGTAAATGTTTGTATACCATTAAGATGTGTATGTAATTGTGATGCAAATACTGTTATGCCATCTTTTGGTAAAGTTACTTGAGTACATTCACGAGTACAATAGCCTGATATACGAAATTCATTTGCTTGTGGTGGTATTGAATTTTTTCCATTATATTCAAGTCCAACTTCCATTATCCCAGCATTATATTTTCGTAAATTTGATGTATAATATATTCGTATACCAGATTGATCAATAATATCTTTTTTAAGATATGGATTATTAAAATGTACTTCAAGTACTACATAACGTGATCTTTTTGATTCACCTATTAATCCACCAGCATCATGGGGATAAGTAAAATTTGTTGCACCTAATGCCCATGCGCCAATTACACGACGACATTGTATTAAACCCATTGGTTTTTGTTCACTTGTACATTTTCCATTAAATACTAGTATATCAGTTTCATTAGAAACATCACAATGAAATAATTCCATATGATGTACAATACCATTACTTTGCGGTGATACAACACCATCAAAACGAATTATATGATGAGGTTTTTCCACAATATCTGGTGGTAATTCAAAACGTGTACACCAATAAGTTGTTTCAACATTTGGTATAGTTACATTTTGATTCAGAAAATCAAGATGTGGATCATTATCAGGTATTCGATTAAAATTAACCTAAATTGATATTAGAATGTTTGAATTAAAAACCAAATAAAAACAAGTTATAAACATACTCGTGTTTTAAGTAATTGAACGCGTTGTAATGTTATATTCATTTGTTTAATATTAATTTTTATTGATTGTTTTTGTTTAAGTTTTTGAAAATCTTCATAGGTGATGAATCCAGTTAATAAATGAGTTGTACCACTATCAATAATATAATTTCGTTGTTGTTTATCACATGTATCAAATGGTCGAATAATTCGTATTGAATATTGTTTCTTTTGTTTATTTTCAATACTTGCACTATGTAATATAGTATAACTCAATTTAACACGATCTTCTGGTATAAATAAAGAACCATCTTCATCTGTATAAGCATTATAAATTTTTTCATCATCACTTAATATGATCACATCTAAATCATTCGTATTTAAATCATAATTTGAAAATGCAAGTAAACCACTATGACCATTTAATAATGTAATATTCCATCGAAAAATAAGTCTTTTTGCATCAGTTTGATCATAATCCCATTCAAGTGTACTTTGTAATGGTTCAGATAGGCCAACCATATAGCTGAGCTCTTCATTATCTTCTACTCGTCGTTGTACAAAGTCCAAACATAAAGTTATTTTAATAGTGAACAACATTAATAGAAATATTGATCGTAACATTTTTATATCTGTTTGTTTGTGTATGTGTATCAGTGAAAAACTTTCTTTCTATCGACTGAATGGAATACAAAGGAAAAAAAGAAAGATTGTTTCCTTTTATGATTGCCTGCGATTATCAGTTAATCAAAATCCAATGAGATACGGCACAATAATAAATCTCCAGGAGCAAACATATGTTTCCTAGTTTCTTTTGTTTTTCTCTGTTGCACGTTATTGCGGATCAAATATAGAGAAGTTCGACCCACTAATCTTTGTGTTTGCATATAGACATGCACGCACGCACATCTATATATATTATATCCGGTTTGAAAAATAGATCAAAGAAAAATCAATCAACATGTTTTCCTTCATTGAAGTATTTTTCTTTATTCTTTTCAAAATTCATATGCTGAAATATGACAATGAAGGATTGTGAGGTGATAGAAAATTTGTGGATAGACTGATTGTGTTTCACGTTGGCGTGTATTTGCAAACGGTAAAACGCAGTCATCATTGATTCAAGTGGCTTTGCTTTACTTAAAAATACTCTGATGTACACTTCTTCTTTTTTGTGTTGTATTTTGCCTATAAGGTGTCATAGCTTGTTAAGCAAAAAAACTAAGAGGCATGTGTACGAAAAAAAAATTTTATCCACCATATTTATTGTTGTAATCGGATGTAAAAAGAGAATAAATCAACAATAATGTATGAGAAGTATTCTTTATTTCAATGAGCTTTGTATTTTTAAGAGACCATCTATTCTTAATCGTCTTTGAAAAAGAAAAAGATGCATGAAGAGAAAAAAAAAAAGAAAGAAAATTTATTTAGAAAAGAAATATAAATTTTCAAAGTATAAAATACCGTTTATTAATATAAGAATAAAACAACAATAAATGTCATTTGAATAGGTTTTTCTTTTTTTTCATTTTGGTTTATTTTCAACTTCTATCTTATTTTTATTTCTTAATCATTTTGGTATTTATTTATATATAGAAGTGAAAATATAATAACAATCACACCAACCGCACAACATATATAAATAGACGCCCATATTCTTTTCTCTGCGCAACCGCCTACATGCTTATGATCACGATTAATACCAATAAAATTGAAAGAATAAACTAATCCATGAAACGATAAAAGGAAAAATCTTCGTACAATTCTTCTATTTTTACATTTTTCTTAATCATGCTTTATAACGATCGATTAACACCACCAAATTGGCCACCATTAGTTCGTTATCCACGTTATTATCCTGTTCGAGTAAGTAAACATTATTTTTATACTTTACATTTACTAATACTCCAGTAAACTTACTAGAGAAACATAATAAATGTTTAGTTTTCGTTTTTAAATGAAGAGAGAAAAGAATATAATGAAGCTCTAAAATGAAGGCCTATGAGAAAAGAAAAAGATGTCTGACTATAATGCAGGTAAGATGCATCTTAAATGTACTTGATGAAAAAAAGAAAGAAGTCTATATGATTGAATAGCATAAGTACTGCTTTTTCTATAGGAAAGAAAATTGTGGTTTTTCATTATAATAACAGGATAAAATATTTCATATGAGTTAATAGAGTTTTGTATTTATTATTCATTAAATGTGTAATGTTTCGTTTTCTGATCAATTTTCCATATTGACAAATTATGTAGTTATCGTACCTTTCGTTTTTTTTCTCATGTCATTTGCATTACGTGAATGAAATCTATGTCAACAGTGGTTTTCATCTCAGTTACATATAAATTTGCGTCTTTTTTTCATTTAAAAGAAATGAAATCTGTAAAAGAAAAAGAAGAAAAGGTTGCATTTTACCTTTTTCAATTTTTTTTTGTTGTTTCATACATTTTGAATGAGCGTGATCGAAACGGAAATCGAAAAGTGTGCGTGTCTGTATAAGTATGTTTGCCACAAAGTTTTACGTCGAATTTAGATGAATTTGAGTTTAACTACGAGAAGACCATTTGTAAAATAAATATATACATAGACGACGGTTTCTTCTTGTCAATGATGAAACGAACTTTACACACGGCAAGATCTTAGATTTTTTTCCTGAATACATATTATTATCTTTATATTTTGTTTTTAGCGCTTAAGTATCCTGTGGTTTCTTGTTCTGACTATCTTATTATTAACTCTAAGTGTAATTGCATTGATCATTGTTTTTGCTGTTGAACATTCATGGTTTCATGATAATTTTGACAGTAATACAAATCGATATGGTCTTTGGCGTTTATGTTTTCCTCCAGATAATACATGCGATAGTTGGTTTTCTACTGGTGGAGCAAATAGTGCTTTTATTGAACGTCGTCTTAATCAATCCAAAAGTAAATAATTGAATATAATGATTTTTCTATGTATATGTATATATATATTGATATGTCTTATCTATTTTTTTTTCAAGGCGGTATTAATGCATGGCAAGCCCTTGAAATTGTATTTCTGTTTTTAACAACATCAACATTAATTATTACTATAGCTTCTATTGTTTGTTATCGATTTCGAAATGGTTTTCATTATTATTTGGCTATATTAGCAATATTTTGCATATGGCCAGCAGGTAATGAATTGTATATTAAAAATGATTAAAATGTTTTTAAGACAGCAAATTTCCTTCTATTTCCAGCATTTGTTGGTGTTTCGGTATTATTCGTCTTTGGTTTTTCTGTATATAATGTTTCAGCAATACCACGCGACCTTGATTGGTGTTTTTATGTAAATCTTGTTGCTGTTATACTTGTTATTTTAGGTGCTATACTTTTATCTATTTATGATACACTTTTGAAAAAACCGATTAGGTAAGTTTAGCTCTTTGTGTTTTTATATGCTATTACTGTATTTGATTTATTATAAATTTTACTCTTTATTATTCCATCAAGAACTGTTGATGATGATACTGTTATTGAAACATTTGCTGATCTTAATGGTTATCCAGCAACATTCAGTCCATCAACATTTGTTATTGTTCGACGAAATAAGAGAAAAAGAAATAAACCTTATGATTATCCACAAGTACTTTATCCAAATCATTATTTTTCAAAAACAGTAGCTAATGGTGGTATTAATACGAATTATGTACCCGATCCTAATCATAAATCGCTTTCACCTTATACATCCATTACGACTACTCAAGAAACTAATGTAACTAGTCAACAACAACAAAAGCAACCATTAACATCATATCAATATTTGGAACGTAATCGTTCTAATCTTATAGCATCACCATCAGCGGCAACAATGCCACCGCAATCATCAATACTCGTTCCAACACAATCTTATCGAACACTATCCTCACCATATCAATACCAACCACGCCCATCTCCACCACATTGGCGTCGAACAGGAACAAATGCAATGAATCAATCGATTGGTTATGCATCTGAACCTACGATTGATTATGTTCAACACGATTATTATCATCCAATTCGATCAAATCCAATCGAAAGAAGATATGAACAAAAACAAGAACCACGTGTTTTACATTATTACACAGGTTATGATTATTTTGCTACTATTGATCCAGTTAATACTGTTTTAACAAGACATCATCCATCAACAATGGGATCTGGTCCCGCAATAAGATATGGTGATAATCTATATTATCGTCCTCAAACTGACTATATAAAGAGTACATTATAATCAAAATAATAGGATTTAAAAGTTTTGTATGTTTTACGTTTATTAGAGAGCACCGAATGAGTCGTATGAGATGTGTTTGTATTGATTTGTTGCTATACTCATTCTTTTTCTTTTTCTTTTCTTATTTGCCTAATTTGTTTTCTTTGGATGCTTGAAGGCAATTATGTAGCTCTAGAATTTTTCTATCACGTTCTATATCTTTCTGTTTGTATGAATATTCTTATACAAATCTTTTTGTCATTGGTTAAGAATTTACGTTGCGAAAATGTTTTTTTTCTATTCTTTATTTAAATATGTTTATGATTATTAGTTGTGCTAAATTAAAGTTCTTTTCGCAGATACTTTTATGCAAAAAGAAAATTATAGTTCATTGTATTTTCCAAAAATCAATGGTCTTCTTGTGATTCGTATTATTTGCAATTTTGTACTTCTTTAAATAAATGAATTAGTTCGCCTAAAGTTTAAGCTCTATGATATTAATTAGTTAATTGTTTATAGACATTTATAATAGGATATTACTTCTAAATAATTATGTCAATTTTAATTACACATTATTAAAAGATAGAAACACTACCATAAATGCTAAGTAATCAGTAAACATGTATTCAAGTCAATAGAACGAAGCAGAAATAAGTAGAAAAAAAAATCAACAATTAACTTGCTAAAAGAATTTGTCTGAAATTGTCACAGCGGGTGATTTTAACAATTTTTTGTCAAAAATTATTCAAATATAGTCTTCAATGAATATTTGATGAATGTGGCATTGCGTACCAATTTTGTTTTTCTTATTTATATAAATTACCAACTATCATTGCGTATTGTCCTAATCGGAATTATTATGATGATTCACATAAATATGCATGATCAACAATGTAATCAGTCATATAATCTTGATGGATATGAACTAAAATATATGAATCCTGCGAAGATGTAATTGATGCTATCATACTTTTAAAATCTTTTCGTCATATAGATCTGCTTATAAACATAGTAATGTGAACCACTAAATCGAATGACAATAATAACCTAGAGATAAAAAGAAAAAAAAATATTTGTATCATGATTAGTTTTCAAAACAAGAAAAACTTATTTATCTGAGACAAAGATACTTTTTTGAAATTTTTAAAAGAACATATATTATCGTATAATTATTAATGAGCCATCAAATTTTAGTACGTCTCTCTATAAGTTATACAACAAAATATCTCTTCAATAGTTACTGACACGTTTTTCTATATGGTAAATAAGTTAATCTATAATCAATCTCTATTTAAATATATATCATATTTACTCGTTCATAGTAGAGAATTATAATTTATAGCATTGAATTTATATACAAAATAATCAATCTCAAGATTTGAATTATTTCTACAATCATGAAGACCAATGACAGTTAATATATTGATATAAATGTTTCTTTAATGATTTAGAAATACTGATTTATATTTACATTTATTAACTCTCATACATCATGCCTTTTATACTAACAGATACGTCGAAAGCTTTTAGACAAAATGTATCTTCGCTTCTCGATCGATTAAAAGAGTCCATAGAAAATATTACACAATTGATTAGAATCAATTTAGTTCATACTGTTGTTCAATAGCTTTTCTCGTAGTTTTCATAAAAACGTACAGTTTGTTTAATCTGATTTTCTTTTTGTTAACTGAACGACGTTTTGAATCTTTAAAAGAAACTTTTATTTCTATCGTGGACGCTTTATTGTGCATTGGCAATCACCAAAACTGTATTTTTACACTTTTCAAAAATATTGCTTGTAACTCCTGACCTATGAGTTTCCCGAATATTCAGAAAACCCACCATCTTTTGATTTTTACCAAATGTTACATACTATCATATATTTACTGTGCTAGAAAAAAAATTTACAAAGATGTATTTTTGGTTTCTATTATATTAAGCAATTAGCTCAAATCCATAAAATAATTTTAATACTTAATAAAGCTTTTCTATCTAATATATTCTATACGAGGTAGATAAGGATTTTAACATGTTTAGACAACTGACCATAGTCACTTTCAAGTCCCAGAAGATGTCATGATCGTTATAAAGTTCTGAAAGTTTTCAGGTCAAGCGAATATTTCCTTTTGAAATAACATTTTTTCGTAAAATGCTACTTTCTCACAAGAGCTCCAAAAATAGTTCAGTTTTTAGGTATACGAGTTTTACTAGTTCAAGTTCGGTTGGTTTTCAATTTCTGATATAAAACAATCGATCAAACGTTATTTGATATAGACTAGCTTTTCAAGAATGGTTCGAATTCATTTTTAATGGGATTCGAAGCACAGTATTTCTGTAATCGGTCGCGTACGCATTCGACTACCATACTTTACGCATTTTTTGCTGTAACAAAGTCCGTCCTTTGTGTCGCTAGAAGTTCGTGCGAACTATGTTAAGTAGTAATAATAAAGAATATCGATCAATGCTGTCCACTCTTGAATTACATAGATAAGAAAAACTTTCGTTTCTACAATAAGTTCCATACTGTACTGTGGATTCAATTGAGTGTGATTGATGATAAAATATTTTTTGTTTACGGCGTCCACTTCTTAGAAACACTCCAACGATGATATTGAATAGTTTCATGAAGGTCGAAAAAGAAGTTGAAGATGACCTAGTTGTAATCTTTCTCAAGTTAACGATACAATAATTAATAAGGCAATCGATCTATTCGAACTTTTTGAATGTGGCTCAATGATAGGTATACTTGATCGTGCTCTGTTTTAAATATATTTTTAATTTTTACAAACTCATTCACAAAATTTTTCAACTGTTCTGAGAAGTAAAGATTGATTACCGAAAATAAAATACAGTACAAATCCTTACTTGCATTTATGTCGATCTTCATCTCTTTATCTAATATCAATACAAAAACTATATGATCTTCATTATCCAGAATTGCATTCAGCGTCATCATCATAATATTCAACCAAAATTGATTCCGTCCACACTCATACATCATCCAATAATAATTATTTATTCATGTTCAAAAAATAAGAATATCAATAATATATTGTTCTTGTAAATTCATAGCCATTAAATCTTCTTCATCTGAACTACACACGTCCAAAAGTATTTATTCAAATGAAAGGATGATCTATCAACAACATATAGTTCTATCTCATCATCATCTATCAATCAACAACAACGTCCGCTTGATGAATCAACTTCTTATCTATAAAAAGAAAAAAGCCTTTTCTCTCAATCATCTCTTCTTCATCATCATCCTCAAAATTCTCTCATGAATGAAATGAAAAATAATGTAAATATTGATCGCTTAATACTATCAATCGTTGCTCAACAATTTATGATACATGTTGATAGTGAACAAATGACAAATATAAAATCATTAGATATGACGTCTATACAAATATAAACTTCGATTGTAAAAATTAGAAATATTAATTTGATCGATTGATTGTTTTTTTTATTCTTTAGATGGAATGGTTTGTGTAAAAATTTAACTAATTATGCAAGGTAATTTAAAACAAAAGTAAATAATCCATAAAGTTTTTTTAAAAATTTATATAAATTTATCAGCAATATCAAGAATGATGATTAGTGACGTATTGATTTATCATAGTTTTCATTTAAATCCCAGAGAAAGCATGAACTAATCAAATTCGAACTTTTATAAATGATTATTATCAATCCTTCGAAGTTTTTCAAACTGCATAAAAAGATATTAATAAGAGTAATACTAATAATCGAATAGAAAATAAATAACGAACGAATAGTACCAAGTCAAATAAAAACTAGTGCGTTCAGAAAGAACGAAAAATAAGAAATTCTGTTCGAAATACCAAAATAAATAAGACAAAAAACGTTTCTCTAATCATTGATTACCTTTTGAAGGCAATTATAATTCGTGAGTGATGCTCCGACTGATATGTCTTGTACTAATATTTAAATTGATTTTGATTTCATTTTTTCTGCTTACTTCATCGCCATCCATTGGTACTAGAAGTACATTTGCATATACAAATGCTGAATTTACTGAAGATCTTGCACATCATGTTCATGCATATATAGAGAATTGTGTTGGAATAATACCAACATTAATAACAATTGATCCGATTATTACTAAAAATTCATATATATGTTCAGATACACCCTGAAGGATCATTATTTTGAACAAAAATTGTTTCATCAAACTCAATTGAATGGTCATGATCATTGCTATTTAGTGATGATAGTACAACATTAACAGGGTATCTTACTCAAAGATGTAGTATATTAAGATAAATGTGAGTTAAACTAAATTATTCACAAAAAAAGTTTTGTTGAAGCCTCTTATATCATAGAAATATATTCTACAAATTCTGAAAGTCAATCCTTGAAAGTAGAATAAACAGTTAAATTAAAACACACAATTGGTGTACGTGAACCAACAACTGAATATTATGTGGTAACGAGAACACATTAACCAATAACATTACAATAGAAAGTATCACGTAATGATGACGATAGTGCATTAATAGAATATGCATTGGAACGGGTGTGGGTGTTAAATAAATAAAAACAGTAGAATAACGAAAAAAAAATTAACAAAGTCAACACATAACATCACACGATATTCGTCATGTTCGGCTTATTTCTTTGAGAATGATCAAGTCATCTCCATAGGTATTTGTAGTAAGGTGCAAAAACCCTTGCCAGTCGCATATGTCAATTTTCTGAAGACATATCTCGTGAATTTTCTGAAGAGAGTTTTCAACAACTTTCTAGTACGTGAGCATGAGTTTATATTTAGCTGTGAATTCCACAAATAATCATAAACCTTCCTCAGTCGTGAAAAAATGCCTCGACTATGAAATTTTATTTCGCTCAAAATGAAGTGATCAACTATTTCTTACCACCAGAAGTACGGTCATCGTTCTCATACCATAATTGGTTGCATGACGAAGATTTTCGTTCGGGTCGTCAAATACAATATTACTAAGAACTAGGAACAATGCACAATTGAGGATAGACACAGTAGTGGCAGGCGTCGCAATACTATTGCCAACAACAAAGAGGCAATCAGCCAGTGGATTTCATGAAACAACAAAACAATGATGAAAGAATTGGTACAGAAACTACCTCAGAACTAAAGTGGGTACTTTTTTCAATGGATGGTACAACCACAGCTCAAAAAGTGAATTACAAGAGCACATTATCGTATGCAACCCCAATACTGTCACAGAAGCGGAAAGACTCGCATATTCGATGAGCAATCCAACACAAGGACTACGATTGAAGCGAAACGATATGCACTGATGAGACTGCTAGACAATGATTCTAAGTACAGCAGTCGAGTTACAAAGCTATTCCTATCCAAAGAAGTGTTCGAAATAATCGACTGGCTGTTGAATAGTTCTCACGTTAGTTCAGTAGAAAACTTCTGGTCAATCATCAAATCTTGATGAACAGAATAGATTTTTGCATGAAGAATAGAATGAAACCCATTGCACCACTCGAAATCATTTATTCAAATCAATGAAAGAGTGATACATAGCTTTGATGGAATCAAAGGGACAGAGGATCGACTATTAGCATCGACATTGTATGTTATGGGTAGTCCTAAGCAATAGATATGTTCAATCAGGCTTTTGTTGTACCTTGGTATAAAAAAACCAACATGAAAAAAGCCGAATTAAATGCGGCAATATATGAGGAAAGAACAATTGTCTTCGTACTTGAATTAGAGAAGTGGCTATTCTCATACAGAGAATTCCAAGAGCGTGATGAATTCTTCTTATTCCCTCGAAATGATTTAGGATATAAATCTTCCATCAGCGTTCAGTTGTTTATATTAACTCCTACATTCTTGAAACGTTGAATAAAATTAATTTTTACACGTTTATATGTCAATTTCGGGTATAATGGTGCTACAACATTAAGGACCAGCAAAACTTTACTCAAGGATGACCTGACTGGAGGCTATCGAAGCTGGGACACCATCTTTTCTCAACAATTGGAAATCTTCGTTATTGTTATTAGTCGAGGAAAGCTGAAAATAGATAAGCACTAAAAGCAGTGGTGTAGTCAGAGGGCTAGGAGCCTCCCACCGAGATCCTGTGCCCTTCTACTTAGGAAAAGTGAAATTTAACGATTAAATTGAAATTTTTTATCGTTTTTCTTTCCTATTTATCAGGTTTGAAAGTTCAGTTAGCGAATGACATCATATGATAAAGTTGTGGAACATTGATGACCAAGAAAAAAGGTCCTCTAAAGAATGAGTTTTAAAGATCTAGTTTTAAAAATTATTTTACATTATGCTCTATATAATGATTAAATCGAAATTTTTAACGAACATTCATGACGAATAAAGCAGACAGAGTTCAGGACTAGTTTTTGATAAAGTAGGCTTTGAAATTTGGCGAGTGAGCCAAAAAACAACGAATTTCAATATCCGCACAACTTGACGAGGGCTAGAAGACTAGCTTACTTGAATCTTCCTAGAAAAAAGTTGATTTATATTTGCAGGAGCTGCGTGGAAGCCCTATATTCCGATCGGGATATAGAAGGTATCTTCCTATTCATGGGGAGAGAACTATATCTTTTCCAGTGATAGATATATTCCAATGAGGATATGATATAATAAATTGCTTTGTCCATTGTAGACGAAAAGCGTCTTTAAAAGTTTTCGTTTTTTTATGGTCGAATGCGGCCAAACGACAACATTCCTATTTCTTTATGGTCCGGATTTACTGAATATTCTTCTTAATGATGTACCATACGCTAAATCTATGAAGAAAAACTTATCACTAATTGCCTCTGACCTCGAACGTTGAGATGCATCTGAAAAGTTTCTTACGACTCAGATGATCCTTTGGAACACTGCAAGTGGATTCAGTCATATTTTCAGCAAAAGTTTTTTCTCTGATTAATCCATGAAAGTGTGCGAAAATGTACTTAAGCAATCATCAAATTGTCAAACAGCTATAGTTCATCATTACAAGTCAAGCCTTAACGAAATATTTGTTCAATCTTGTCAAATGGCAACACCTGGCTAGAAAGGATCAAGAGTTTGTGGGGAACTGCCATTTCACCCATGGTTTCTTGGTTACACCACTACTCAATATAGAATACACTAGATGTAAAAACTTCGTTGTTTATTAAAGTTATCGTCTGGATTTGAGTGAATCGCTTAACAATGTAGAAAAAACATCAAAAATATGTTGCTGTTGAACCTTTTCCAGCACTTTATGTATGAAGTTGAAAAATATCTATTAAAACAAATGTGATTGAAGCATATAATAGATCTTTATTTATTTATTATTATAAATAAAATGAAATGATATCATTATTGTCATATTGACCGTATCAGCAATTTTTTCATACAACATTCACTTCAAAAAATAAAATAAGAAAAAAAAAGAAACGCACTAATGTCATCAAATAGCTTGATTAGAAATAATTAAAATATCACATTCTTATTTGTGTTAATAAACGGAAAGACAAATTGATACAGATTCTCAATGTTTGTTTACGTATATTTATATATAAAGAACTAATAAGACAATAAATGAATTAACTTTCAAGTAATTTTCTTTTGATTTCATCAAAATCTGATTGTAATGACATAGTTAATTTTCTTAATTCATTATGAATACGTGAATTAGCTTTTTCAAAAACATCACGTAATTCATCAATTCTACGCATTAAACGTATATGATCATTTTCTTGTAATAAAGGTTCACCAGCACGATCAATATGATGTCGATAATATCCAACTTCACATGTCACATATTCTCTTGTTGAATGATGTCTCAAACCTCGAGTTGATGGTATATTATTATGAGTTTGACTAGTATTATTTCCAGATGTTGAAACATTTGTTGATTGTGGTAAATCAACACGTGGTGTACGTAATTCTAATTTCCATAGATAATATTTTTTAAATCCATGAATTTGTGTAACATGTTTCTGGAAACGTGGAAACAATGAACGTTTAGCTAATGCAAGTACCAAACGAGAACAAGTTTCACATAAAAGTCCAAACTTAGCTTGTAAACCAAGACATGTTTCAATACGTGCACGTAAATGTTCACGTTTAGCATTTAAACGAAAACGTTTTACATCTGAAACTGCTAGACCAACCTAAATAAAATAAATTAGTTCTGTAATTTTTAAAATTGAATTTTTATCTATTCATACCATAATATTCATAATAACAATATTCATTGTAAAAACAAATGTTGAATAAAGTACCATAGCTGCTTCACTTCCTTGTAAAACTTTTCCATTTGGAAAAAATAAATCATCAAAATCATATTCTCCTGTAAGCATAGCTAATGTCTTTGGTATTGCATAAAAAATAGATGTAAATTGTGGTTTTTTATGTACAAATAACATATGAAATGCAATTATATATCCAATCCATATAAATACATAAATAAGACAAAATTTTAAAAATGTTAAAAATACACTAACAAATAAAAGGCCATATTTGCCAATTTTTAATGCATTCATAAACACAAGTAATAATAATGTCCATACACTAGCCATACCTAATGCACCTGCTTCCCATTGCCATTTACAACGAAGACCAGTGCGTTGTGTACAATTATTAAGATCTATTGCAAATAAAATTGCACACACATATGTATGTAATTCAAGAAAATTAACAAAAAAACCACGAAGATATTTTTCACGTTGTGTTATTAATTGAAAAAATTCTTTTAATAAAGCAATACCAGAACATATTAATAATAAAATGCGTAAGAAGTCTTTAAAAAAAATATTTATTCATTTAATTAATTTAAAAAAAAAATCTTATGAAAACTTACGAAGTAAAACATTGCGTGGCAATGGATTATTAATATCTGATGTTAATCTGTAACATATTTGTTTACATGTTATATTTGATACATCATAATAAGAATGAGGTGGTATAGGTGAACCAAGTGCAACACCAGTATATAAACATACAAATGAAACTTGTGCACATAGAATAAGTAAATATAGGAAATTTCCAAATAATTGAAATTTCAAATCAACACAAATTTTGACAACATCATGATCATAAACTGGTGCATGATTGGCTTCAGCAATTAATGATAATGGATGTTGTTTAAGCCAATTTGATGTTGAAAATCGTTTTGAACGACCAAACATACAACGATGTGGTGCTGGACTTGCTCGTAAACAATCATCAACAATTGATAAATCAATACCATCTTCACCAACAAATTGTTCGAGTAATAATGGAACTAATGGAATCATTTCCGTCTAATAAAAACAAAGAAAAGTTCAATGATAGTCTCATAAACTAAAAACGTAGAAGAGGAAGAATCTTTTGTGTTTTTCAGTTGCGAGTTATGAACTGAAAATTGAGACTTTTTTATTTGTATTACAAAAAAGAAACGACACTTTGAATTCTTTAATATTTGCGCTAAAAAGAACCAGTTTTTCTCACAATTAATCCTGTCTGTCATATGGTAAGAATCATTACAAAATAGTTAAACTATTGTTTTGTCATAATCATTCATAGTTTTTATAATGATTTTCTTAGAAATTAGAAATTTTCTTTTTACTTTTTAAAACATACCATAGTTAACATACGTTGTATAGGTGTTTGATCATAACTTGAACCAGAATAACCAACATTGTAATGTTTTAAAAAATTTTTATATGATCGATAAAGTTCTCTTTCATCACCGGGAATTCTTACACTAATAAACGTTCGAACAAAATCAGGTTTTCTCAATGCTATTGAATATTCTAAGACATTATATGCACGCCCATTAACGTCAATTTGTATTTGAATAATAGCAGCAAAACGTCGTGTATCAGAAACAAAAAATGAAGCTATATCTAATTGATCGTCATCAATTGTTGTTTTTAATGAATCAGCATTGATAAAATCTACTATTTCAGCATTTCGATGTAACCATTTACTACTTAATATATATTTAATACATTTCAATGAACCTTTTTCAATGGCAATAACGAATGGTGTTTTACCATTGGCATTTTTTTCAACAAGTCGTTGAAGAGCCTTGAAAAAGATCAACAAATATATACTGTAATCAAAAAGCAAACAAAAAAAAGATTAAGACATTTTTTTGACTTACAGTAACTCTAGCAGCACTTGAACTGAGACGTTTAAGTAATGCAATAGCACGACTTAAAACAATATCATTACAATGTTCAGTTGCATAATGAAATACACTAGAACCAATATTATCTTTACATGTTAATGATAATGGATCTTGCTCCATGAGTAATGTTGCTGTTGATGTTGATCCAGCTTCAATAGCACACAGTAATGGTGTCTGTCCACGAGTATTTAATAAACTATTAGCATGTGATGTTTCAGTAATTAACATTCTCATTATTTCTTCATGTCCAAGTTTAGCAGCTAAATGAAGTAATGTGTGTCCTTGTTGTTCACCTACATCTAGACTTCCTTCTCGTTTTGATGTTGTATGATCATTTGCATTCGATGTTGATTGTGCACCAGGTAATTCAACTATTGGTGCTGAAACAATAGCTGGTAAAGCAGCATGTTGTTGCTGTTGTTGTTGTCCTACACTTTCTTGAATTCGAGACAGTTTTTCATATATTTGTTTTTGTTGTTGTTTTTGTCGATTTCGACCAAATTTTGATCCTTGACCAAAACGTCGATCTTCATCATCCCAATCAAATAAACTATCAATTATGGGTTGAGGTGGACTTATACGTACAGATGGAATTGTTTTCATTACTGCTAATTTATTGTCACTTGAAGATTTTGTTTGTTCATTAATTGGAGTATTAGATACTGATTGAGAAAAATTTTCATCTTGAGTAGATTTATCACTTTTCGATGCTTTCAATGATTTTTTTGTCCGAGATTGTTTTGGTGGAATGATAAAAATTTGAGTCGGCATTAAAACCTATCAAATAGAAAAGACTTGTTCATTTGAGAATCAATATATTTGATCAAATGAGACTATTGATGATATATTGAATTGCTTATTAGAGAATTTTCATTCATATACAAAGTTCTAGCTGAGATAAATATTTACATTGTAATACGACTATTATTAGATAGTTTTTTTTCCATGTCAATATAATTCAATTAGCATAAATTTAAGAGATTGTTTCTTTCTTGTTTTTCTACTATTCACCATTATGTATTTGTTTCGTTAAAAATATGTGCTAAGATATAAAACTAAGGATATAGGAACAACAAAACGACAACATCTGTACATTTGTTTTCTTGTTATGAATATCTTTCTAACTAGCTATTTGAGCTTATGCTATGTCTTTTGTAAAAAAAAAAACAATGCCATATTCATATTAATTACTTACGCCGCGGGCTACTGTATATTCTTGGCGATCGCTCATAATATGTGATACTTTAAAAAAATTGTTTATTTATAAATTCTAACATAAGATCAATCAATAATCTTGTAGAAAACTAGTAGCAATGCATTAAGACATCATCAGTAAAAAAAAAACTGTATGAATGACCATATAAACATGTATTAGTATTGAATAACTGGTTTCTTTTTTCTTCTTCTTCTTCTTTTTGCTCTTAGTGTTTGTTACTTCAATGAGAAAAAGTAATCGCGAAAAGAAAAATAAACGAATGGCATTTAATGTATTGTAAAGAAAGAAAAACGAGAAGAAAAAGAAGAAAGTAATGTTATTTTCTATGCTACTCTCACTCTTTGACCTTTTTTCGGTCCTGTCCAACGATCCCTTCAATAGATTGTACCTTAAAGATAAACAGCTAAAACACCATACACACACTTGTCTGTGCTCTTTTCGTTGTTTCATTTCAATGTAATCATGTTTTTGTTACACTGATAAGAATACTTCTTTACCCGTTTTTTTTCAATATTTTACTTTCTTATTTCTATATTATTTTCAATTATGCACATGTTCGCATATTTAAAATACTATATTTTCACTTCGATGGGTAAGAGAAAAATGACTTTTATGGTTTTCATCAAATACAAAATAGGCTATGCACATTTGTCTTGTTGTCATATATTTAGATGATGCTAAACAGAAAATCTCGTAATTCACCGTTCGATCTCCGATCTCACCTGGGAATTTATGTCGTTCAATCTATCAAAGAAGTTAACATGCAAATAAAAATATCTGCATGTTTTATTTTTACTAAATGAAGAGAAAACTACGTATTCAAAATAGACTCATTTTGTCCTTACATGATAATAAGGTTCCATAAGTCCATAAATGGTAATATTAAATGAGTACATAGTACATTTCTGTTAACGATATGATATCATAATACTAGAGTGATGCTCATTAACATTTTGATAAATCATTCGCTTTTAGTTATTTCAGCTTTCTTCATTTTAATGTTTACAGATCACTCTTTTGCACCATATATTAAAGAAAAAACCATCTAACATCATTCGGAAAAAAAAACAACATCTCATCAAATACAGACACACACACACACACACATAACAAAATAATAAAGCGACAAAAAGATACATTTATACAATAGCTGTCGTATCCGAATGTCAATAGATATACACATACACACTGTCTTCTTTTGTCACTCATTCGGATTTTCATCAATAATGATTTTAATTATTTTCATGAGCATTTAATAATTGTTGTAGATCAACTATTTGTTTTTTTATTAACCATTGGAATATGTTCATGTTGATGTAATTGCTTGTTGATAATCATGGGATTATGGTTATCTCGTGTAGGCCAAAACATAGCTTGTAATTGTTGTAAAGGTGTTCGATGTTGTCGAGCTTGAATAGTATCATTTGTTTGATGACATTGAAGATTTTTATTTTTTATTAATGCTTGTTTCGAAATAGATGTGGTTGGACGAAAATTATCCAATACTATTGAACTTTCACCTTCATTATCATTATTATTATTCCAATTATCATCATTGACATTAGGCTGTATTTAAGAAAAATCATAATGTACATAAAATATTCAGAATTGCTTCTTATTAGTTAGTATAAAATAGCATTAGTATTATTTTATTATTTATAAATAAAGTTGAATTAATTTATATCATGCAACATGCGCGTAATAGTAATTATGTGTCCTAGTGTTTCTATAACCACTAACACAAACCAAATACCGATATTTTAATTAAAACAAAAAGACTTACATTTTCATTTAGATATTCTTACTAGTTCAAATTCATTCTAGAATGGATTATCGATATTTTCTAATGATTTACATATGTATTTTTTTTTATTTATATATCGATTTAGTATTTATAAAATTAAAATACAAAAAAAGTTTGTTATTATTTAAGATTATGTCGAAAAAAGTGCTGATTATTCAACATTCATTAAATGTTCGTCCTGCTTATGTAACAACATTTTTTACTGAATGTAACATTCCATTCGAAATTCTTCCTATTTTTGATTCTGATATTCAATCAAAATTACCAGATAATAATACAAATGATTATTCAGCTATTGTTAGTCTTGGTGGACCACAAGGTACATATGAAGATGATATATATCCATATTTAAAATGGGAAAAATCATTTCTTGCTGCTCAACTCGCTCTTAATACACCTATACTTGGCTTATGTCTTGGAGCACAACTAATAGCTGATGTTATTGGTGGACATGGTTATTTAGGAAAGTATGGTTATGAAGTTGGTTATGTTCAATATGAACTCACAACGGAAGGAAAAAATGATCCAATTATGTCAAAAGTATTCGAAGAACAACAAAATAAACCATTATTAATTATGCATCATAAAGATTCATTCGATTTACCATCGAATGCATCGATTTTAGCTTATACATCAAATAATTATATTGCTGCTTTTCGAATTGGTTCAGCATTTTGCGTACAATTTCATCCCGAAGCATCCTTTACTGAATTTAACGAATGGGTACAAAGAACACGTAATTATAGACCAGAATTATATGAAAATCTCAATATAGATGAAATTCTACATGAAGCACAAACATGTGAAATACAAGCTGATAAATCAAGACGATTATTTTTTGAGACATGGTGGAATTCAATTCAGCACCAATAATTAACATAATAAAATGATTATATGCTTGAAGAGATTTGTTGTTTTTTTAAATATTTATTTCATTATTTTCAATGATCAATCATCATTTTAAGTACTTCTAGATCTTAATTACAATTCTATTAATTATAAAGTACATATGCATATCTCTATTATTTTGTATTTGTCGATGTATTAGTATAACTAATTAACGCACTGATTGTCATTTGATCCTAATCACATGTTGTCCTTTTTTTTTCTTAATTTCGAATGTCATCATAAGATATGAGGTAACAAATGTTCGTAAAGATCACAATAAAAGATCACGTATGTCATTCTAAATAATAAAACCAATTAAATATACATCCTCCGTTTCTTGTTCTCGATCTCTATCTCTTTTCTTTCCTTATACTTTTATTATATTAACAGTAACAGTAAATATGTCCTGTAATGAATAGATTAATAGTGATAATTGAAATAATAACAATGAAAATAAAAAAAAGACGAATAACATATATCAATTGAGAGTGAAATAGAAAACGAAAAGTGAATCAACAAATGAAGGGATGGCACATACAGTGAATAACAATATGCGTCTATCATTGTAGTATATGCGATTAAAATGTGATATTACTCACCAAACTGATTGTATCTTTTGGCATTACCATTTCATCAAGTCCAGTTGTTACTGTCGGTGAATTTGAACGGTTATCATTATCTTGCTGATGTTGATTATGTGTTCCAGTTGGACTATGTCGATCACTCTTGCCCCAACGTAATCGATTAACATTTTTAAAAATATTTTTTGATCTTTTTGTTATACTTGCATAAGTTGTTCCACCAACGGTTGAATTATTATTATTTATTGCAACATTAGTATTTGCTAGATTGATGGAATCTGTTAAATGACTTAGAGCATCTTCAATTTGTTGTTGATCAAGACTAATCATTCGACGTGGTAATGGTCGATGTTTATTTGCCTCACTAAATGCTCGTGGTAATTTTTTTTTAGCTCTTAATATAACATTTTTTCGTGCATTTATACATCGAGTATATTCATCACCAGTAGCATGAAGTATTGGTATACTACCAATCGATGCAAAATTTGTATTTGTATCACCATAACAAGCTAATTGAGTAAAATCATTTTGTTCATTTGTACCATTTTGTTGTTGTGAAAGTGGATCAATAATAACATGTATAATTTCCCTCCAAGCAATATGTGGTTGCCAATCTGGATTTGTTGAATTTTGATATGTTTTATACATAGTTGTTTTCATATTTGTCATTAATTGATCAAATACATTAGCTAAATTTCTTACAACACAATATGTTAATATATTATGTCGAATATCACTTGGTTTTGTTCGACATGAATCATAATAAATTAAAGCATGATTTTTAATTAAATAATCAAGTTCAATTTTAGCATTACGACGTACACAACAAGCAAATGCATGAACAAATATACGTTGTATTGAAGCTGAATTTTCCTCAATAAATGGATCACCATCAACTTGATAATAACGACTTAATGTTGTACATAATGATAAAAATGTTGTACAATTATTTTTTATTTGTAAAACACCATCTAGAAAAATAAAAAATCATAATAATTATTAAAAGTAAAAATTTTAAAAAAACGAAAATTTTTCTTACCGAAACAATGTTCTAAATTTCTTTGTGCAACTGTTCCCCACCAAGCAAGATTTCGTCGTTTAAAAAATGAATCAAATATTGTCTGCATCATAACCGTTGAATCAGTCATACATGATAAATAAAATGGTGTTTGATAAATATTTGAAAATGTATCAGCAAATGGATCACCAAATGATTCAAAAAAATAATAATCAACTTCCATATATAATGATTGACCTGTTTCAGAACTTAAACGGTATTTTACTTTAACTTCCCATGTTACATCACTACGTTTACGTGATGAAATAACATCACCATCAGGATATAATATTGTTGGTCGACAACCAAGTGCATTTTCTAATTCAGAAAAATGTTCTTCTATATTTTCACGTAATAAATGAAAATCCCAACGTGGATATTGAAGAAATATATCACGAAGAACAAGAACAGTTAAAAAACAACGTATACTTATTGGTGCTTCAGCTTGATTACCATCATCAGATGCAGCTGATTCATCATTTTTCGATGTATTCAATGTTACTGATGAACCTGATAAAGCACCGGAAACTGGTTTTACATCTTGATTAACAATAAAACCATCAAATTCATAAAATACCCATGATGATGGTCCTTCAGTTTCAGTATCACGATATACTTGTACATGTTGAAATGTTGCATAATCTTTTCTTAGCATATAATCATGTACACGATTGAGTATGCATTCATGATTGAGACCATCATATTCAACAAGATGAGATTCAAGTAGTAATTTAACTATTTCTTCATAATCAGCTTTTTCACCACATGTTGCAATACATGCAAGTATAAGTGGTGATGGAATAAGCATATGTGTCGCATCATATCCAAGTATCAATTTATCAATAAATTCTTCACGTTGTATTAAAGGAAATGAACTTAATTCAAGTTCATCAGCATCTGGAATGTCATTATCATTTGCCATACCTAGAGAATTACTATTATTATGAGAATCATTCGTAATATTATTTGTTCCCAATGGTGGCTGATCTTTTGCTGCTTGTCCATCAAAATTTGGTCGAAATTTTGCAATATTTTGTGGTCTTGACATTCTTGTATGACTATCAAGTGAAAGTGATGGTCTTAATATTGATAATGTATGTCTACGTTGTTTTGTTCGATGTGTTGCATCACGTTCAACACCACATGCTTTAAGAATATATTCATTTGGATTATGTTCAAATTCTCGTTGTTGAAATGCTGGAATTAATAATGATAATGTATCAAAATGAACTGATGATGATGCTAATGTATCACACATTATCTTAACCTAAAATAAATAAATAAATAAATAAATAGAATAATTTAATATTAAAAAAAAATATACTGTTTCTTTATCTCCAACATATGCAGCATAATGTAATGGTAACCATCCACGTTCAGTAACTAAATTCATTGATATATCTAACCAATTAATTTTTTCTTCAAAAATTTTATTAAGTAAATTTGTTTTCTTATGTGATATTGCAAAATGTATCAAATCACAATATTCATATCGATATAATTTTATAATAGATGATTGAAATAAATTAAATATTTTTTTATTTTCATTTATTATTGGTGTATCTATTTGTTCCATATATATATATGTATGTAAAGATGTATAGGATTTAAATAAACCGTGTATATGAGAATGAAGATATTGTTGATCTAATAGAACACTTTCTTCAACTAATGTTGTTATTGTTGGATTTACATCAATCAAATGTTCAAGTACATCAATAATACATTGACGAGATTTTTCATTATCGATTACTAGATGTTTAACTGTAAGAAGTTTTTTTTTTATTCGATGATACCAACGCCATAATGGATAACGATCACGAGGATAACCATAAGAATCATATAATAATAGAAGTAAAAAATGTATATTATTAAAATGATCTGGTTTTCGTATAAGACCACTTTGAAGTTCTTGAAGAAGATCAATTAAAATACCAAATTCAAGTTCTTCAAATGGTAATTCTTGAGTACCAATTGATGTCATTGAAGTTAATACAGTGTCTACATTAGATAAATATAATATTAATAAGTAAATTAAATAATTTATTTCGACATTTTGAAAAAAAACAGCTTCGATTAATCTAACTGTCTTTTTATCAAAGAATAACAAGGATATTAAACAGATCTTCTTTATCAATCATGATAATCAATCGTGCCTTCATATTCTCACGTACTTGTTTCTTCTAGCTAAATAGTTTTCTTTTGCTATTATGACAATCGAAAGATTCGATTAAGTCAAAGAAACTAATATTATTTTTTTCCTGAATTCATTATCGATTAGAATGATAATATATGAATACTTGAATTAATGATGATTGACATCAAATATATAATCTCAAATCTAACTGTTTTGTTTTCCGTTCATTCAATGAAAACTAATACATAAATTATAATGTATTAAGAAAATAAAAAAAAATTTATTATGGAAATGATTACATAAGAAAAGAACACTTACATGGTGATAAGTAATCTTTACTTAAATCTTCAGCGGATGCATGTAAACGTTTTGTGTTCATTGTCATCAAATATAATTATCAAACGAAATATTAGTTTTCTACAAATATATATTCATATAATCAAATCCTTGTAAGTCGTATTCTTCTATGAGGATCACTCGTGGTTGTTACGGTGAGCTTCATGAACATGTAACATTTTCTACTGAATCGGCCTTAAAATTGCTCTCTTCTTCTTTTTCGTTTTTTCTTCTGTTCTATGCTTTTTTTATTTGATTATTTCTTCTTTTATTTCTTTCTTTTCACACTCTTTTCTCCTTCTATTTTTTTACTGGTGTCTCTTGGCAAATTTTTTACGAAGCATGACACGTTTCTCTTCTGCATTCTTTCTTTTCTTTTACAATAACTCACAACAGAATTGTTATTTGATCTATCATGTACTCCATGAACCTCATGCGTCAGACATATGATTGTATATGTTCAAATTTATTATTCGTCTATCTTCTATGCTAGAAATAGAAGAAAACAAGCGAGTTAATGTGGTTTGCTCTTTAGAAGACTTTCTTCTGCTTGTCACATATACATATATCTTGTATACTTAAGGATCAAATTGAGAAAAACAAATATTAATTGACAGTCTCTGATGATTGATAGAAATAGAAAAGACATATAACATATTCGAATATTTGGTTATACTAAAAAGAGATGACGCGTAACTATGCTAATTAATATTATGAGTAAATAAACCATTTCTGACATAGATCATCTTTCATATTATTAAATTTTTCTATTAGTAGTTACATATAAGACGATTTCTAATTAACATACCAAACCATTAATTATAAGTATAATAGAAAGCAGTATATGTTAGAAATAAATATACATACATCAAAA